AAAATTCCTGCCAAATTATCACAGGGGAATTACCGGACCATCATGACATCAAACCTTTGTGCTTTTTTTTTCATTTTAGCCATCCTCTCATATGTTGGGAGTTTTTCCATCAAAGTCAATTTAAACTGTTGAAAATTAAGAAAGAGAAGAAGTTTAATGTATTCTTAGCAGTGCAAAACCAACAAAAAGAACCGCTTCGCCTCAGATAGCTTTCATTTTTTTTGTGGTAAAATCTAACAATCTAGTAGTTTTTTGTTAAATATGGAATTTAGCGATTGTTTCAAAATGACTTCATAAAGTATCACTTATGAGGAAGTAATATGTAATCTATAATATGTGATCTACGCATAAAGATGTCTTAACGCGCAATTCTAACTTGCCAATGCCCTTAATCTCCTTGGGCGGGTACGAAATCGGAATTTTTCACAAAATCTTTATAAAAACAGTTTTGTGCACTTTGTAGAGAAACGTGAGATGAAAAGTGTGCAGAAGAGATAAGAAATGCAGGTTTGATAAGTGGGATTATTTCATTGAAAAACTGTTTTTTGCTTTAGTCAGTCGTCAGCAAAAAAACTCAACCCGGTAAATTCCTAAGAGCAAAAATAATCAATTGATGGATTTTGAGAAACTGAGCTATTATTTTCCAAATAAGCAAAAACGCAATGTAGATAGAAAAACTAACCGTTGCATCGTCAGAACCAGTGGCAAACGCATCTCCATTCGGATGAAACCGCACGGTGTTGATATCAGCTTCATGGCCTTCGAATGACTAAAAATAGGACATTATGGTATGATAACATAGATTAATCCAATTTTTAGGAAAAAAGTTGTATTTGTTGGTGAAAAAAAGTGCGGTCTGATAGGACAAACCTGAACACATTGCCCAGTACGGATATCCCAGACAAGTGAATGTTTATCAGCTCCAGCTGAGATAAAGACATTTCCTGTATCGCATTTTGGTACATCTATGGCGAATACGTCCCCTGTATGTCCATGGAAATTCTGGATCATCTGTAAACAGCTTTTTCCCTCATTCTTCACTGTTTACTTTGACCAAATGTGAATAAAACAATGAAATCAAGTAGA